CTGGGGTGAGGGTTGGCTGAGCCAGATGTGACGTGGGGACAGGGACTGGCTCAACCCCCCCAAAACGTGACCTGGGGCTCATGATGGTCACAGGGTTCTTCCCTCAGCGAAGGGCGGGGACACGGCCCTATAAATCCGCGCCAAATCCGCCTTTTTCCCTCAATGAACGGCTCAGGGAGGCAAAGCCGAGTCAGAGCAAAGAGGGAACAGGGGCAGCTGTAGTTTTTCCTTCCTCTCAAAGTTGTTTCAGCCTTTCTAAATCGTTTTTTTTTTTGTTTTGTCCTCGCCACATCCCGGCAAAGGAGGCGACTCGGCAAAATGAAATACATCGTAGGCATCGGAGGGTAAGTCCCTGCTGATCTCGGGGAGATATGTTATTTTTCCTTTTAATTGTTGTACTTGGCTTGGAGATTATTTCTCGGGCTATAAAATAATATTCAGGGTACAGGATTTGAGAGATGAGGCAACTCAGAGTCTTAATTTGTGCTGCTTAAACACAGAGAGCTCTGCAGGGTGGCACAAGCTTTTATATGTAATTTATATGTCCTTTTATATGTAATTTATATGTCCTTTTATATGTAATTTATATGTCCTTTTATATGTAATTTATACATCCTTTTATATGTAATTTATATGTCCTTTTATACGTAATTTATACATTCTTTTATATGTAATTCATATGTCCTTTTATATGTAATTTATATGTCCTTTTATACGTAATTTATATATCCTTTTATAAATCCTTTAATATATATTTTATATATGCTTTTATATTATTTTATGTATCCTTTTATATGTACTTGTATAGGACTAACAGAACAGATGCTGCTTCAATATAAAGAGCTCTGCAGGGCAGCATATACTTTTATATACATTTTTACATACACTTATTTATATACTTTTATAAATTTATATACACTCTTTGTGTATTTATATACACAATTTTTGTATATTTGTGCCTATATGTATATATTTTTATCTATGGTTTTATATATCCTTTTATAGGCTTAATAGGAGGGATGCTGAGAGGGAAAAAATATCTCAAGTAAATTCAGAGGTCACAGAGACAAAAAATTTCTGTTAAAACCTTCTCTGAAAGACCACGAGAGGGAAAATCCTGTTTCAAACAAGACAGGAGGGTGGTGGCGTGTAAAAAGCTTTAAGTGTTCTTTAAAAAGTAGGATTTAGGAAGTCTGCGTGCGCTGGGACAGCACGAGAGCACAGCAGGGGGGTTTGGGGAAAGGAGCGTTGGTGGATAATATGGATTATTATTATATTAATAATATAGGACTGAGGGATTTGTACAGCCTTGGGATAAAATACGAACCTATTACAGAGGAACAAGCTCTCCACGGGAGAGGACGATTATTCAGGCGTTTTACACGAGGGATCCTGCGCCGCCCTGAGGGAGCGGAGCCCGCGGGGAAGGGCTGGAAGGGCGCCCGGCGGGAGCGGAGCGGGGGCGGCTCGGCGGCCCCAAATTGGGCCGGGTGTCCCCAGAGCGAGCAGGGAGCGGCGGCTGTGAGGGGGCGAACTGTGAGGGGGCGAACTGTGAAGGGGCGGCCATGGCGGCCCCTCAGGGGTCTCGGCTGAGAAGGGCCGGCAATGGCGGCCCCGCGGCCCCTCAGGGTCTCGGCTGTGAGGGGGGCGGCCCCTC